CTTCCCACTACCACTCCTCAAACTCCTGGAGTTCCCATACAATACCGAGAACTTCAGGAGGTGTTTAACAAGGCTCAATCTGATGTATTGCCTCCCCACAGAGCATATGACTGTGCCATTAACCTGTTTCCAGGCGCTATGCCACCTAAGAGGGCAGTTTATGCCTTATCTCCCAGGAGAGTAAAATAATGGAGGAATACATCAAAGAATCCTTGAGCAAAGGGCACATAAGAAAGTCATCCTCACCAGCTGGTGCAGGATTCTTTTTTGTTGAGAAAAAGGGTGGTGAGTTACGCTCTTGCATAGACTACAGGGCACTTAATAAAATCACTGTAAAAAATGCATACCCTATCCCACTCATTTCCGAATTGTTCGATAGACTTCAGGGAGCTAAAGTATTTACTAAGCTATTTACTAAGTATTTACTAAGAGAATCATGAGTGGAAGACGGCATTTAATACCCGTAGTGGACACTATGAATATCTGGTAATGCCATTTGGGTTATGCAACGCCCCGGCCGTATTCCAAGACTTTATAAATGATGTACTCAGGGAATTCATTTACTCATTTGTCTTGGTTTATTTGGACGATATTTTGGTGTATTCCCCTGATCTTCAGACTCACCACTCCCATGTGAAATAGGTTCTGCAGACGTTGTTGAAAAATAAACTTTATTGCAAATTAGAAAAGTGCATATTTGACCAGCCTGAAGTCCACTTTTTGGGTTACAACATCTCTGCATCGGGATTTCAAATGGATCCTAAAAAACTAGAGGTTGTACTACACTGGCCATTACCCTCTGGTTTAAAAGCCATTCAAAGGTTTATTGGTTTTGCCAACTATTACAGAAGATTCATCAAGGGATTTTCTTCTGTATTAGCCCCAATCACAAATATGACTCGCAAAGGGGTTAGTAGCACGGTATGGTCCAAAGAGGCTGTGAATGCTTTTGAGACTCTTAAACAAAGATTTGCCTCTGCGGACATACTAAAACATCCCGACACTAGTAAACCTTTTATATTGGAGGTTAATGCATCCGAGACAGGGGTAGGGGCTGTTCTCTCTCAGAGAGAAAGCCAGGGAACACCATTGCATCCTTGTGGCTACTTCTCCAGAAAGATGTCTCCTGCTGAGCGCAACTATGATATTGGCAATACTGTTGGCCATTATTCTTGCCTTCAAGGAGTGGCGACATCTTTTGGAGGGTTCCAAGGACCCCCTGTTGATCATAACCGACCACACAAATCTGGCATATATAGGGGATGCCAAACGTTTGTCTTCCAGACAGGCTAGATGGTCACTATTCCTTTCACGCTTTAACTTTCTCATTACTTATAGACCTGGTTCTAAAAATACCAAGGCTGATGCCTTGTCCAGGCAATTTGATAATGAGTCAGCACCGGAACAGGTGACATTTCCTATTATTCCACCAGAGTGTATTATTGCCACTACTGTCCTCTCACTGTCTTCTCCACTGCTTGGCACCATACTGGAGGCCCAGCCTCAGGCGCCCAGTGGTAAACCGTGTGATAAACTGTTCGTTCCCCTATGTGAAAGGGTTAATATCATGAAAGTGTTCTATGACAATATAACTGCTGGACACCCGGGCATCAATAAGTCCACTGCCGCGATCACTAGATCATTTTGGTGGGATTCACTCAGGAAAGATGTAAAGGAGTATGTGCAGGCATGTTCTGTGTGTGCAGTTTCTAAGGTGACTCATGCACTTCCCTGTGGCCTGTTGCAGCCTCTTCCTGTTCCTGAGATTCCATGGTCCCACTTATCCATAGACTTTATTGTTGAGCTTCCTAGCTCTGCTGGGTTCACTACTATTCTCATGGTTGTAGACCGATTTTCTAAGATGGCTCACTTCATTCCTCTCAAGAAGTTGCCATCTTCGCAAGATTTGGTCCTAATTTTCATACGTGAAATTGTCCGTTTGCATGGCATCCCCCACAATATTGTGTCTGATAGGGGCTCTCAGTTTGTGTCCAGGTTCTGGAGGGCGTTCAGTAAACAATTGGGGATTGATCTCTCCTTCTCCTCCTCCTACCATCCACAGACCAATGGTACAGCTGAGAGGGCTAACCAGTCATTAGAAGTTTATTTGCGTTGTTTTATTAATAGCACACAAGACAATTGGTCCGAACTACTCCCGTGGGCCGAGTTCGCTAGAAACAATGCTGTTCATGACTCCTCTGGGCACAGTCCATTTTTTGTCAATAATGGTAGGCATCCTACGGTTCTCCCTGCGGTATTTTCTGATACTGCCATTCCTGCTCTGGATGAGCGTCTGGCCTCCATTCGGGATACCTGGGTTAAGGTTCAAACTGCTCTAGGGGCTGCTGCTGAGCGCTTCAAACATTTTGCTGATAAGCGTAGGAGTGCCAACCCGGTGTACCAAGTGGGGGACAGGGTTTGGTTGTCATCTCGCAACATCAAGCTTAAGGTCCCTAGCATGAAGTTTGCCCCCAGATTCCTTGGTCCCTATAGAGTGCTTCGTAGGATCAATCCAGTGTCTTACTCTCTGGCTCTTCCTGCATCTTTAGGGATTCCCAACACTTTTCATGTGTCCTTACTCAAACCTCTTGTCTGCAATAGATATACTGTTCCTTGTGTTCCTCCCCCTCCGGTGGTGGTGGGTGGTCAGGAAAAGTATGAGGTATCTTCTATCGTGGATTCTAGGTTTTCTCGGGGCACTTTACAGTACTTGGTTGTTTGGAAAGGTTACGGTCCTGCTGATCGTTCTTGGGTTTCGGCTCCTGACCTGCATGCGGGCCGTAAGATCCGCGCTTTTCACACTAAATTTCCTCTCAAGCCTGGTCCTGTCCGCCCGGTGGGCGTTTTTCAGGTGGGGGGTAATGTCAGTCACCACCTCCCTCACTCTGTCACTAGTCACCCCTTCCTTCCCTCACTCTGCCACTAGTCATCCCTTCCCTCACTCTGTCACTAGTCACCCCCTCACTCTAGTGACAGAGTGAGGGAGTGACAGAGAGAGGGAAGGGGGTGACTAGTGACAGAGTGAGAGAGGGGGTGACTAGTGAAAGAGTGAGGGAGGGGGTGACTGTCACTAGTCACCCCATCCCTCTCTCTGTCACTAGTCACTCCCTCCTAACTCTGTCACCTGCTCCCTCACTCTGTCACTAGTCACCCCCTCCCTCACTCTGTCACTAATCACCCCCTCTGTCCTTAGTGACAGAGTGAGAGAGGGGGTGACTAGTGACAGAGTGAGAGACGGGGTGACTGTCACTAGTCACCCCATCCCTCACTCTGTCACTAGTCACCCCCTCTCTCACTCTGTCACTAGTCACCCCATCCCTCACTCTGTCACTAGTCACCCCCTCTCTCACTCGGTCACTAGTCACCCCCTCTCTCACTCTGTCACTATTCACCCCCTCTCTCACTCTGTCATTAGTCACCCCCTCTCTCACTCTGTCCCCAGTCATCCCTTCCTTCCATCACTCTGCCACTAGTCATCCCTTCCCTCACTCTGTCACCAGTCACCCCTTCCTTCCTTCACAGTGACAGAGTTAGGGATGGGGTGACTAGTGACAGAGAGAGGGATGGGGTGACACAGTGACAGAGTGAGGGAGCGGGTGACACAGTGACAGAGTTAGGGAGGGAGTGACTAGTGACAGAGAGAGGGATGGGGTGACTAGTGACAGTCACCCCCCTCACTCTGTCACCAGTCATCCCCTCACTCTGTCACTAGTCACCCCTTCCCTCCCTCACTTTGCCACTAGTCATCTCTTCCCTCCCTCACTCTGCCACTAGTCACCCATTCCCTCACTCTGTCACTAGTCATCCCCATCTCCCTCCCTCTGTCACTAGTCACCCACTCCCTCACTCTGTCACCAGTCACCCCCACTCACTGTGTCTCCCCCTCACTCTGCCACCACTCAACCCCTCCCTCACTCTGCCACCAGGTACCCCCTCACTCTGCCACCTGTCACAACCTCCCACACTCTTCAACCTGTCACCTTCTCCCTCACACACTGTCACCTGTCACATATGCATTCACACAGACACTATATACAAAAAAGCACATGTAGTCATCCAGACATGCACAAGTGCATTCACACAGACTCAAATACAAACATGCATTGATACACAGGTCTTCACAATACACACATCCAACGGAATGCCGTATTATGAATTATATTTAACATTTATTTAATGCACATATATTTGGCCTTCAAAGGGCCTGGGATCTAATTTTGCCCGGGGGCCCCAAAGGCTCTCAGTCCGCCCCTGGTTCTACGTGCTGGATCAAACAGTAATCCTGACACTTCTGTGGCTGGTAAAATATGTGAAAGGTTATTAAGGGATAATATTCAAGAATTCCTTGAGAAGAACATGGTTATCAGCAAAAATCAGCACGGTTTTATGAAGCACAGGTCATGTCAAACTAACTTGATTGCATTCTACGAAGAAGTAAGTAGAAGTATAGATCAGGGTGTTGCAGTGGATGTGATCTATTTGGATTTTACCAAGGCATTTGATACAGTTCCACACAATAGATTAGTGTTCAAACTCAAGGAAATCGGTCTAGATGAAAATACTTGTTCTTGGGTAGAACATTGGCTTAAAAACAGAGTACAAAGAGTTGTCATTAATGGTAAATTTTCAAGCTGGACAGAGGTGGCAAGTGTCCCTCAGGGGTCTGTTCTGGGACCCCTTCTATTTAACATGTTTATAAATGATCTTGAAGACAGCATTGAAAGCCATGTTTCAGTGTTTGCAGATGACACAAAACTTTGTAAAATAATACAATGTGAGCAAGATATTAATTTGCTGCAGAGGGATTTAGATAGACTGGGGGACTGGGCACTCAAATGGCAGATGAAATTTAATGTTGAAAAATGCAAAGTTATGCACTTTGGCGTAAAGAATACACAAGCAACGTATACCCTTAATGGAATAACATAGGTATAACAACATACATATAGGTATAACAACACACATATATATATATAGGTATAACAAAACACGAAAAGGACTTGGAAATTGTTATAGACAACAAACTATGCAACAATGTGCAATGTCAATCAGCAGTGACCAAGGCCAGTAAGGTAAGGTATCCTTTTTTTTTTTTTTTTTCTTCTATTTTTCACCTTGCTGGTATTATTTAAAACATTTTCCCTCCTTTTTTTTTATTTTTTTCCCCTCTCTTGTTGTTTCTATTCCCCTCCTTGTGGGTGCTGCTGCTGCTGAGCTAATTAGGGGGAGTGCCCTTTAATTTCCACCTGTGTGGGATTTGTATTGCCAAATATAAACCCACTACTGACTCACAGAGCTTGCTCACTGGAGTTTGCTTGAAAGTAGGCTATTTAAAGTAGTCTCTTTTAAGTAGGAGTTAAAACAACAGGAGTTTGTTGGTGAACTGGTGGACTGTGGTTGGTATTAGTTAATACCAAGTGGAAAAGAAAAGCAGGTTTAAATTTTAGTATTTGTTTGGTTTTTTTTTTTTTCTCTTTTTGGGTTTTGTTTTGTTTGTATTTTGTGTTTTTTTTTTGTTTTTTGTTTTTTTTTTTTTACCCTTTTTAAAAAAAACAAATTATTTCTCCTTACTGTTTTGATTTATTTTAATATTTTGTAACTTTTTTCCCCTTTTCATATATATATATTTTTTCTCTTTGGATATATTTAAACTTTGTTCCTTTTTTTTTCTTCTATATTTTCACCTTGCTGGTATTATTTAAAACATTTTCCCTCCCTTTTTTTTTTTTTTTCCCTCTCTTGTTGTTTCTATTCCCCTCCTTGTGGGTGCTGCTGCTGAGCTAATTAGGGGGAGTGCCCCTTAATTTCCACCTGTGTGGGATTTGTATTGCAAATATAAACCCACTACTGACTCACAGAGCTTGCTCACTGGAGTTTGCTTGAAAGTAGGCTATTTAAAGTAGTCTCTTTTAAGTAGGAGTTAAAACAACAGGAGTTGAAACTACAAGGGAGTTTAAACCAAGAGGGTTAACATTTTTTTTTATTTTTTTTTCTCACTTGTGTTTTTTGTTACTGGGGATGAGTGCTAGCAAGATTGCAAATTTAACTCAGTGCACATCATGCCGCATGTATGCATGCCTGGATGATTCTGTCCAGGGTCCATACCTCTGTGGTGGGTGTGAGCGAGTGGCATTTCTGGAAGCTCAGATTAGAGATCTGGAGAGGCAAATTGTAACACTGAGGGAGATTGACAATCTTGAGAGGAGTCTGCTGCTCACTGAGCAGAGTTTAGTGGGGACAGGTAGTGGAGAGGGAGGAGATAAGACAGATGGGGAACAGGCACGTAGCTGGGTGACAGTGGGGAGAGGAAGCAGGGGGGGAGGGAAGAGAAAAGGTTTAGCTAGTCCTGATCTCATGCAGCCTAACAGATTTGCCCGTTTGAGTGAAGATGTTGGGAGCATCAGCTCAGGAGTAGCTGTACTGCAGGAAGCTGTTCCTGCTAACAGCCGTGGAAACAGCCCCTCTAGTACGGGTGGGGTTGAGAGGGTAAGGAAGGCTAGACAGGTTGTGGTGGTAGGGGACTCTATTATTAAGAGAGTAGATAGGGTAATCTGCCACTCTGATCGACTCAACCGGACAGTTTGCTGTCTCCCGGGTGCTCGGGTCCGGCATGTTGCCGACAGAGTGGAGGGATTATTGGGAGGGGCTGGAGATGACCCAGCTGTCATGGTCCATATTGGTACCAATGACAAAGTCAGAGGAAAATGGAAGGTCCTAAAGAATGAGTTCAGGGAACTAGGAAGTAAGCTTAAGAAAAGGACCTCCAAGGTAATTTTTTCAGAAATATTACCTGTGCCGCGCGCTACAGCAGAAAGGCAGCGGGAGATTAGAGAGGTCAATGATTGGCTAAAGTCTTGGTGCAGGAAAGAGGGTTTTGGGTTTTTAGAGCACTGGGCCGATTTTGCGCTTGGGTGGCTAGAAGGTTGGAGGAGATTTTAAACTAGTGGTAGGGGGGGAGGGTCAAAGCAATCTAGAAAATGGAGATATGATGGAAAAGAGATGGGCTTTAGCTCAGAACAAAGGGGGTGGAGATGGGGGGAGGGGAAAACTCAGAACAGACGAGGTATGTAATATTGATAATTCACAAAAAGTACAAAAGACTCATGATAATATTAAATGTATGCTTACTAATGCAAGGAGCCTATATAACAAAATGGGGAACTAGAGGCAATAGCATACACTAAACAATATGATATAATAGGCATAACAGAAACATGGTGGGATGAGACACATGACTGGGCAGTTAATTTAAATGGGTATACGTTATTTAGGAAGGATAGGAAAAACAAGAAGGGTGGTGGGGTATGTTTATATGTCAACCGTGAGTTAAAGTCAAATCTTAGGCATGTGGAGTGTGACGAGGAAAAGGTGGAGGCTTTATGGGTAGATATCTGCTTGGGGAAAACAAAGGGAAATCAATTATTGGTTGGGATATGTTATAAACCACCTAATGTAAATATTAATGAGGAAGAACAGCTGTTAGAGCAAATTGAGAAAGCTGCAAATCGAGGTAACACGTTAATTATTGGAGATTTTAATTATCCAGACATAAATTGGGAAAGAGGGACTAGTACTTCAGCAAGGGGAATCAGGTTTTTGAATGTGTTAAATGACACCTTTATGTCACAACTGGTACAAGCACCAACTAGACAGGATGCTTGTCTGGATCTTGTCATAACAAACAATGTTGATCTTTTAACCAACATTCAAGTAGGGGAGCATTTGGGGAATAGTGATCACAATATGGTAAATTTTGAAATAAACTCAAAAAAGCAAAAGCAGGTGGGGTATACTAAAACATATAATTTAAAAAAAGCCAATTTCAATAAGATTAGGGCAGCTCTACAACATATCGACTGGCATAAACTCCTTAGTGATAAAAACACTGAGGATAAATGGAAACTATTCAAACATATATTAGAAAGGTACATTTCTCAGTATGTACCATTGGGTAATAAATATAAAAGAAACAAATTAAAACCAATGTGGCTTAGTAGAGAAGTAAAACAAGAAGATTAAAAATAAGAAAAGGGCATTTAAAGCATTTAAATCAGACAAATCAAAGGCATCCTATTTAAGATATAAGGAAGCCAATAACACTTGCAAAAAGGCAATTAAAGTGGCTAAACTAGAAAATGAGAAATTGATAGCTAAAGAATGCAAAACCAACCCCAAATTTTTTTCAAGTACATCAATTCTAAAAAAACAAAAAATGAAAGTGTAGGTACACTTGAAACAGAGTTGGGTTTATTAGCTAATGAAGACCAGGAAAAAGCAGAAATTTTAAATAACTATTTTTCTTCAGTATATATTAATGAGGATCCTATGGCAAGAGATATGCAAATGTTTGCTGCAAAAAACTTGCAAATAACTTGTGACTGGATAACTCGAGACAAGGTGCTACAGCTATTAAAGAAAATTAATGTAAATAAAGCTCCGGGGCCTGACTGTATTCACCCACGAGTACTTAAGGAGCTAAGTGGGGAAATAAGTGAACCTCTGTATTTAATTTTTCAAGATTCTTTTGTTTCAGGTGTTGTACCGGAGGATTGGAGGAAGGCAGATGTTGTTCCTATATTTAAAAAGGGTTCAAAATCCTTGCCTGGAAATTATAGACCTGTGAGCTTAACTTCAGTAACTGGGAAAATATTTGAAGGGCTATTAAGGGATAATATTCAGGAATTCATTGGGAAGAACTTTGTTATTAGCAATAATCAGCATGGTTTTATGAAACATAGGTCATGTCAAACTAACCTAATTGCATTCTACGAAGAAGTAAGTAGAAGTATAGATCAGGGTGTTGCAGTG